AGAATACTTTTCATTGAGTTTAAATGTTTGATAGTTCATCAATCTTAAAACTGTTTGACACGGAACTTAGAAAATTGGAGCCTTTGATAGCAATTGTGTAAGGCCACTGTTTTTAAGACACGTCTGTGTAAATTCATTTTATTTTGAGTAAATATAAAATCAGATAAAATATATGATGGATGGATTATTCTAACTTTATGAACTATATTTATGCCCTTGTTAATACTACTAGTCTTATTTCAGTTATTCTAATGCACGATTTCAATATCCTGTTTTTGCTAGTATATTTCTGTATATTAATTTGCTGTATTAAATGCTAAGATACATAAAATGAGTCACAGACTCATTTAGTGATTTAATCGATATCCGTTAACTATGCTGTGTTCATAAGATCAAATTTCCTTACTATTGTTGATATATTGCTATGCAAACCTGAATTGCATGTATCCTAAATAGATTTTGTCTTCGATATTATACTGCCATGTTGTCCAAAGAGATCAGCTTAACTATATCACATAAACTTTAAATCAGTTTTCCATAATTATTTAGAGACAGATGCGCAACCATATGTATCTGAAACTGGACAAATCGATTTTTATACAACCAACATCATAAATCTAATGTATACGATGATGCATCGACTGTAACATTAAATAAAGATGGATAGTGACTAGCGGTGGAACCCAGGACACCCTTTTTGTCCTCTTTGAGACTCGTCAGCTGGATGTGCCTGCATCCCAGAGTTGATGTTCACTCAGTAGCTAAGTAGACAACGCAATCGAATTTGAAGCAAACGGTACTGGTTCCAAGCCCGGGAGTGAACATCAACTCTGGGATGCCTGTACATGCATCACGAAACGCGCATCATGAATTCCACTGCTAGCCACTATCCATCTTTGCTTATAAGGCTTGTGACTTGAAGCTTTATCGAGGCGATCCGTACAGGATGCACATATGCCAACATGAGACTGATCAATTACAGTCCTAAATAACAATGGGACGTTACAAGTAAAACGATACCAAATGTAATATTAAATGTTTTCATAGAGAAAAATAAGTGAATGATTAAAAACCCCGCTGGTAACAAACTTCTACTAACATAATTTTATTAATAAAAAGATACCATAATCAATATGTAAATATACAACCGGGTCTGTTGTGAGATAGTAACTCACTGATGACAGTGGTGTATGTGTCGCTCAATTTCGTGGATTAGTTGAAGTTAGACATTAACACCGTTGGATGCCGGCCGTCTCAGTAGTCTAGAGGGTAAGCGCTTGTGTGCGACAGTGATATGTCATGGGTTCAAATCCCGCGAGGAGAGATCGTGTATACGCACTGCTCAGGAGTCTCACAACATGACGAAATAGCCGCCTTGTGCTTCCAGGTTTTCCATGGTGGTCTAGCTTCAAATGACTCATGATCTCAACCAGTGAAATTAAAAATCATGAAATTCCATTTGGATTTTATTCATTTCATAATAAAAGTAATCAAACTATTTATTAATGAATTAGATGATTCTATATAACTTGTAAAATTATTCAACAGACGGTTATACCCTTAACAATATTGATTATCACTTCTAAATTCTTATAATTTTAATGAAAGTCTCACTATTATATAATATACTCTTTATTAATGGAATTTCAATAATTCATTATGTATAACCCACTAGGCATATGCATAAATAGGTTAATGTACTTACTTACATACACAAATACAGTGGTAATAATTCTTTGATGTCAGTTTGAATAATAATAAATACCATTACTGAAAAATTGAAATTTTAATGAATCAAAAATAGAGTGAAATCACTATTATTATTATTATTATTACTCTTATTGTTATTATAAGGACAATAAACCAGCAAGAGAAATAAACTGAAAGCAATGGATAATCTTTTTCTCACTATTCAAAATAGAAAAGCACCATCACTAACTATAATACATAAGCAAACCAAACCACAAAATCACCCTTCTATTTTCTTTTTTTTTCAAATAATATTTCAATATTTTAAATTTTGGAGTAATGAAACAAGAAAAAAAAGAGAAGAAACGAAGGAAAAAGGTGAATAGAAAGTTAAGAATTAGATATAAGTATAAAAAGTAATATAGAAAAGCATGACAACAATAGTAATAATAGTAATGGTAGGCAATGAATGCTTATTTAACGTGTGCCAATCAACTACGATATTGAAATTATCATTTCTGGTTTTATATTTTTGTTGTTGTTGATACTTTCTGTAGAAAAGAAAACAGACAAACAAAAATGTTAATTAAATCAGATATCAACAACAAATAACCATAATAATAATAATAACAAAGAGTTAGATGCAGTAGGATAAAAAAACAGGCAAAGTTTATTCAACCAGAAAGATAAACTTAGGAAATATTGAATATTGCCTTTGATGTTCACTGAATATATAAATATATATTTCAACATATGCTCACTAAGGATCGGCTTCAAGAGATATTTCCTGGAGTTTTAGTGAGAAGCAGTAACCAGTGGAGTTTACCCGGGTCTGTTGTGAGATAGTAACTCAATAAAGACATTTGTGGATGTGTCGTTCAATTTTGTAGATTAGTTAAAGTTAAACATTGGATACCGGCCGTCTCGGTGGTCTAGTGGTTAAGCGTTCGCGAGCGAGACTGATAGATCTTGAGTTCGAATTTCGCAAAGCAGGATCATGGATGCGTTCTGCTGAGGAGGCCCACACTAAAAAGAAATGAACGTCCGTTTCTTCCAGTATTTCCATGGTATTCCAGCTTTAATTAACTCATGATCTTCACTATTAAAATTACTGTCATATCCACAAAAACCCATACTGATATATAATATTGTTGAAATAAACATCCAAAAGAGATATTACATTATATTTGATTATTAACTCAAATTTGTTTGATTGTAATATAGTGATCTATAGAAACCACTGTTTCCAATTTTTAAAAAGTTTCGTCAATAGTTGGGATATTTATTTCTCTTGTTTTTTCATTGACTGGTGAATTAATATAATCTATTCCTTTTTCTTTTTTGTGTTTAAGAAAATGAATGGTTTTAGTTTTGCTTCCGGTTAAGTTACAATTTTCATCATATAAAAAAACTTGGTTAATCATGTTGTAATGGCTGGTCTTTTGTCGAGCCCACATAGCTTATTCCAGCTTCTGAACAGGCCAATTTACCTATTCTTCTTGAGTCATATTTTTTACACTCGTTGATCAGATAAGATAATCAGAGAATCGCAGCAAATTAAGCGAAGAATGAACAGCGAAACGAAATAAAATGACGCTCAATGGAGAAGGCGTGTGAACCAACTCCATTTAATCAAGCGTTAAACGATATTTATAATCACACAAAAATAAGTTACAGACATGTGATCAATAGAATAAGAATTGTATACACAAACACTCATATAAAAACAGTCAAGGTTGATAAGTGAATAATTAACAAGGTCAAAATATGACTCAAGAAGAATGGATAAATTGACCTGTCCAGAAGCTAGAATAAGCTATGTGGGCTCGACATAGAACCAGCCACTACAATGTGTACTTCTGTTATAACATATGTCATTTTTCCCCTTTAATAATGTATAAATCACTAGATGGTTTTTACGTCTTCATCATTATGCATCCAATGTGTTATATCCCGACGGGAATAATGAATGGTAACTGTTGGGATCTCTTTGTGGACTAATACTATATATATATATATATATTTCTATTGTATAATTGTTAAGTGACAGAACTATACATGTTTATATTCCTCTTATTATAAGCTCTTAATTGACGTATTTGTTACTGTTATATAATTTACTATTCTTAATTTATTCTCAATCTATTGGTCACAGTTTTCATACTCACAACCACTTTTCGTATGATGTTGTTCCGATGTTACTTTCTATTTTATGGTGTGATATGGTCTGATTTTGCGTGTACATAAATCAAGTATGTTTGAAATTTATTATTTGTATCTCAGCAGCTGAGGTTGGTGTTTTGAACTTAACAGGCAGAGCTAAATGGAGAAAGGACCGATCGACACTTTGGGCTACTCGTACTGGTGTATGCGTCATTAGTTTGATCGTATAAGTCAGATTATTTAAATTTGGCAATCATATTTCGCGGTATTGTATAGTTAAGGACATAATGAATTGAATATAACTTCATGTAACGGTTTTCTTATAAATCTAAATATAAGTGATGCAATCGCTTTCAGATAAAACGTCAAATGTACATATTAATACTAAAATATATTTATTCAGAGATTGTTTTGAAAGTACTTTCTTCTAAAAATTAGGTTAAATACTTAAATAGTAGCTATGACAAAAAACTGTTTCAATGGTTGAGATCATGAGTCAATTGAAGCTAGACCACCATGGAAAACCTGGAAGCACTGGACAGCCGTTTCGTCCTAATGTGGGACTCCTCATGATCTCAACCATTGAAATTACTATAATATCCACAAAGTCCTTTTGATATGTAAAAACTATTTCTTAGGAAGTCTAGAAAGTAGATGAGATTTAGTGTCAAATTTACCGATTTACAAGTACTTGAATTTAGGATATAAATAAGACGACCTGTTTTAATAACCAAATAAAAGGTATACACATGACAATCATAAATGACTTGAACAACCATTTCTTTCACATTATTTCGCAGACAATTGTGATAATTGTAGAGCTTAGAGGATGACAGGGCAAATTGATAATCTAAGTGGTGTTACTGATTTCATTAAGTATTTCTAACCCTATTAACTCTGCTATGGCAGAGTAAGGACTGTTTTGTTTATAGTTGAAGAATGGTTCTACATACAGGTTTCGGAAACTACAAAAAGAGGATCCACTAATAGTTCCACGTTGTTTTCAGCATTGTTACTAAGAATCTCGAAATTATTTAACTTTATCTTCATTCATACTGAATTGAATTTTGCATGTTTGTAAATGTGCAAAAATAAAGTATATAGAAATAAAATCAACCATTTATTCAATTCATTTTCTATTTTAATAGGCATATCCTTCTGGGATTAGTGTCCACATTAATGTAAAAAATATCAGATTACTGCCAGAATATGAAGATGTTGAACATTTAGCTAGTGATAATGGAATTGTTATGGATCCTTCAAGAAAATCGAATATGCAACATTGGCGTAAACCACTTGAGACAATCATTAAAACAGCATGTCGGTAGGTAATTTCTTTTATTATTATACGTTTCTTTAATTTAGTACAATTAAAACTGTTATGGCACAATGCCTTAATTATCTTTCTCTGTATATATACAAATATGTATATATACAAATATAGTATCTCGCGATCGATTAATCGATGTAGTTTGATTTAAAACGCTTATAAATTAGGAAGTGATGTATTTCCTAATTAATAAGATTGTTGCTAATCAGTAGCATTTACAGACTGCCTAGTTAAAGTTATCATAGTGATCTTATTGCCATAGATAATCTTTGGTTATGTGTATCTATCTTACACCATAAATCCACCATAAATATGAAGAGATTCAAAGTAGAAATCTATTTTATGATTTCAAAATTAATGAGTTTTACCACATTTCTATAACTATTTAGTTACTAGTGTCACATGAGTACATCATCTATAGTTCTATGTAGAATATGTCAAATTAGTTTATGAGTGAATGTGGAAATTAGTCATTTAAGTAGTCAGTATCACAAATTACATTTCGAACAATCTGATCACACATATCGGAAGGGGTTTTGTGGAGATTTTCAGAAATTTCAATAGTTGAAATCATGAGTTAATTGAAGCTATACCATCATAGAAAATCTGGAAGCACTGGATGGCCGTTTCGTCCTAGTATGGGACTCCTCACACATATACTTGTCAGGGCTTTTTATATGAAACTTAATAAAGGTCAGTTACATGAAAGTTCAAGTAAAAGATAACAAAGTTGAGTGAAACAATTTTACATCTTATGAAAAGAATTAAGAATTGTCGCATTATCCTAGGCCATAGATTGATTTAAGGATTACCAGGTTAAATTCAAGGTAACGATGAACTGTTTTTGTACACATGATGGGGGTTAAATTTACGAATTGCCAAGGATTCAATAAACTTGAGAATTCGACCTTGACAATTTCTATACAACGTTTTAAAAGCTGTATTAATGTCAATTTTGTGCTCCGTTTCGATTATATGTTTCGCTATCAATGAACATGGTTTTCTATCTCCCACGTTGACCGGACCATTTGACACTAATTTGTTTTGAAGCCCCTTATGTGTACAAAAACAATTTGTTGTAACCTTGACTTTACCATGTCAATCTATAGCCTAGGATAATGCGATAATTTCTTATTCTTTCTATACGATGTAAAATTTTCTCTCTTCCGTTTGTTACCTTTTTGACTTGAGCTTTCATTTAATTTACCTTTATTCATTTTCATATATGCGTGACCAGATTGTTCGAAATGTATAGCGCAAATATATCACATTTTTCAGATCAACTCCATCTTCTCATTGTCCTATTGAAATATATTTTATTCTATTAGGTGAACAAATAATAATATTACATAATCATTATTCAAACTAAGCAGTGAAAATAAAACTAATTTCATCATAAACAAGCTATTGAATTATGCTTCCACATAATTAATTTCAGTTATAATTAACTAGTGTTTCATATAATGATTATAAGAAATAACTAAACAAATAATTACTAAATAAATAGAGATGTTGGTGCATCTCAATAATGTGTGGTTTTAATTTTTAAAGCGTATAGTAACCAAAGTAAAGCTGGATGTATTATATACACATATCGAGAAAGAGAGAGGGCGGAAAGGAGATTGGCAAGTAATTATATCTGTTGACTTTATTTAATTCGTTTATAAGGTTCTTTCAATACACTTCTTGATCGAACTACTTTTAGATTTTGATTCATAAACAAATGAATTACAATCAACTATGGTAAAATAATTACAAAACAATTTACATCTGTAAGCAAGGATGGATAGTGGTTAGCAGTGGAATCCAGGACGCATGTTTCGTCCTATTTGGGACTCGTCAGCTGGATGTACCTGCATTCCAGAGTTGATGTTCATTCTGGGACTCAAACCCAGTACCGTTCGCTTCGAACTCTATCACGTTGTCCACTTAGCTACTGATTCTTGATAGCCACTTGCTTGTGAAATGGGGTGAAGTTTAATGCACTTCCAGCTGACGAGTCCCAAATAGAGCGAAACGCGCATCCTGGATTCCACTGCTAGCCACTATCCATCATTGCTTATAATGCTTGTAAATTAAGGCGATATCGAGGCAATAGGCACAGAATGCACACATTTCAATAAGAGACTGATCAATTTCAGTCCTAAACAGCAATGGGAAGATTCAAGTAAAACAATACCAAGTAAATTAATTTACATCTGTGTTTACTCAGCTTTCATTAAAATTAAATCAATCATAATTTAATATGTCATTAAGATGTTTAATCATTGTGTTTTATAAAGATTATAGGTTATTTAATTAAATGACCTTAAGTTGAATAATTAAAGTTTAATTTCTAAATGATTAGAAATAATGAATGAGAACACGAATTCCAAACTGTTTGTTATTATCTTTTCTGACAGTTCATAATGAATTATATAATCATTGATTGTATAATCAAACAATAGAATTTATTAAATGAATACAATGTCAATTTCCGGTTATCATATTTAGTTTTTCATTTGAATCATAAAATGATATCATTGAAAAATAATTGATATTAAGAGGAGTTTTCTGAAGATTGCAGTGATTTCAAAAGTTGAGATTATGAGTCAATTAATGCTAGACCACCATGGAAAACTTGGAAGAACTCGATGGCAGTTTCGTCCTATTGTGAGACTCCTCAGCAATGCGGGCTTACGATCACGACTTTAAATCCTAATTCATGTAATTGAAACAGAAATAGTTACAAATAATTTCTAAAACAGTTTTTTGAAAGAAATCGTAGATGCTCATTGATGAGGAATGCCACAATATGACGAAATGGCCATGCAGTGCTTCCAAGTTTTTCATGGCGATCTAGCTTCAATTGACTCATGATCTCAACTATTAAAAAATAATTGAATATATTTTGTTGATCGGTGGAAAGTAAGTAACCTTTCAGGAATATTAGATTTAAAATTATTTAAAAAGAGGACTTTGTACCCATGAGTTAACTAATAATTACTCTGTTATCTAAACTAGTATCATCTAGCTTTGAAATCATTTCTTTACGAATGGATTATTGTGAGATTGAGATATTTACAATGATTGAGTACTGACTACATTCTATCAATCAGGTTGTAATGTGGACACTAGTCAGAGTGATTTAATATCGCGTGCATTGTTTTCAGATAATAGGTAGTTAAATGTAGCTAACAGAATGCCCTAAAGCTGTACTTCACACTTATTGGCGCTCGTTAGCATGACGTAACTCAAATCCTGAGGCATCTACTTTTCCCTACACGATACATATTTTATTAAACTGTTTGGAGGTGCCAAACAATCTACCAATAGAAATGAGTTACAGATATTTAAGCACCATAATGTTCCCATTTTGTTTTACCTTTAGGTTTGTGTTTTGAAAGTAGATTATATTGACTTTATTTAATAAAGAAGTCTTGTGGCACTTTTTGCACTACAGTTCAAAATTCCCTGACATTCAGTATCTGATAAAATCGCTTACATCAATTTGAAAAAAAACTCACTGAAAAGTAATGGAAAATGTTAATCCATTGATCATTATTATTATCACTGACTAACCTGAAGACTGTCTAAGCTGATAATCAGAAATCAAAACTATTAAGAACCAATAGACTAAATTATCACAAGCACTATAATCTTATTTCACCAACGAAATTTACTTTGGATCAAAAATAATTATCAGTAGTCAAGGCTCATTGAGTTTGATAGTACAAACCAGACAATTGATTTGTAGTATTGTTGTAACGTGTGGATTGCACGTTAAGATAAGCAGCGTTTTATTGATCGATTACAGTGACACGGAAAACACATAGTGGACGCCCTAGTGTCCTGATTGGTCCCGCTTCCCTGTCTAGCCAAGCCAGTTGAGTCCAGAACGCAAGTCACAGCCTCTGAGTTACGAATCATTATATTTCAGACATACTCTATTTATATACCAAACAAACAAACCACATCGTACCATAAAATAGAAAACAACATTTACACAATATTTAACAAGTGAAACAAATATCGACCAATAGGGAGTGTACATTTAAAGTCCAAGGTCACCGTTAGACTTAACATGATAATTATTGATATATTCCTCTGCATACCTAACAAGTATAAGGCATATAACTAAAAGTTTCAATCTTATTATTTATCTAAGGTTGGTAGTTCATTATTTCTATGGTGGTCTAGCTTCAAACAACTCATGATCTCAACTGTTGAAGTTACTGCAATCTCCACAAAAGCCCTTCTGATACTAATCAATCCTATAATCATTTAAAACATACAACCCATTTATTTAAAACAATATATTTTTTTGAAATGTTTCAATTCATGAATCCCTTTTTTAAAAATTTCATTACATATTTCTTATGAGTATTTCAATTTATCTCAAATTATCATCCCATTGTAGTTTAATCGAATTGACATAATCCCTTTTTTAATTTGTTTCTCTTTTTTAAGTAGTATATTAAGACATAGAGAATTTAGAATAAAGATTAGCATGTAATCAAAAGTATTTTTCAATTTATCATTGACATTAAATTAAAATCTTGGTAGAGATTGTTAAATGGTGACTGATATATCACTGGTGATTGTTTGTCATTTTCACAATTATCATCGGAAACAAATATTGGTATTAGTATATTAGTATTTTCTTAAAAATGTATGAATTAATTAATTGTGATTCAGTCAGTAAAAATAAAACCTTATATCTTAGACTAAACTTCAATGGGGATATAGTGGGTGATATTTTAACACGTCAACTCAAAAAGACCTGTTGAAAGGATGTTTCACACTGACAAGTTACATATAACTTTCTCAACTAAATCAGTACTCATACAACAAATCAAGGATAGGTTACCTATGATGGGCTCCTCCATGTGTGTGTACTAATTCAACTGCTCCTGTGGAGCTAGCTACATAGGCCGTACTTAGAGGACTTTGTCGTTGCGTATTTGGGAGCATATACTAGCATGGTTAGGAAAATAAGTCACTAAATCGATCAGCAGCACTATCTTATCCTCACTTGGTAGATAGTGAACATTATATCAAAATCGATGAAGCTTTCTCTGTCTTACATCAAATTCCAAAAAAATATTTACCTCAAGGAGCTAGATTACGGTTACACTACATAGCCGAAGCCATCTGGATCAACTCCTGAAAAGCAAACTTATGTATCCATAAAATGTATCTCCACCCTCTATGTTTACCCTGACCTACGACTGAATTACCGGATACCTAAACTGAATATTATGAACCTCTTATCCCCTTCATTTTTGATTAAGTCTATCTTAATTTTCACATCCATCATTCCTAATTCACATGAACCCTTTTTTGTTTATCGTAATTACCTTGATAACACCCCTCTTATTACACGTTATATTCACACATCAATATTATTATTATTATTATTATTATTATTAGGGGTTTTGTGGACATAATAGTAATTTTAATAATTGAGATCATGAATCATTTGAATCTGGGCCAAAATGGAAAACCTAGGTCTGTTGTAAGATTGTACCTCACTGATGACAATGGTGTATGTGTCGCTTAATTTCGTGGACTAGTTGAAGTTAGACATTAACACCGTCGAATGCCGACTGGCTCATTGGTCTAGAGGTTAAGCGCTCGCGCGCATACATTTATAGTATAAAACAGACCTGAAAAATTCCTTTTTGTAGTAAAATATACCTCAGAATATAAGCTAAATAGATTACGGCTACTGTTTTATGTTACCTAAGCTATCGGACAATATCAAATGAAGAGTATGATTATTGATATTTTCAGCATGAATGATTCCCTATTTCGGAAAATGAAAGAATAATTTGTTTTGAACACATTCAAATGGAGGTTGTATATATATATATATATATATATATATATATATACTAATAATTTCCGTAGTTTCCAATAACTATTCAACATCGAAATGCACCGTTTGACAGCACATTCTAAACGACAGGTAAAGTAAAATAACAATCCAGGTTATAGAAATTAGATTTTGAATACTAGTTAGTTAAATACTATTAACAAGGTCTGGCTTATTGCTACCAAGTAAAATAAACATTGGTTAGATTGTTTATAATGAGTATACATCATAATATAATTAATCTATCCTCGGAAGAAGCTATTCACACCAAGCAGCGAAACAACTGGATTTTACCTATATACATGGATATATATTGTGAATATATTATCATTTTATGATTATAAGTGTTGATTCATTAGCATACAATAACACCAGATGAAGAATTAGTAAATTCTTGGTTATAGTAACTCTACTTAGCTTTCTATACAAGCACAAAATGAATTTGCTTCTAAATATTTGCAACTGAGAGTATTTTTATCTTTTGTTAGTAGCACTATCCTATGAAATCTTTTCCCATTTTGTTTATCAATATATTTATTCAGACTTATTTTTATTTTTATTTGAATGTCAAATTATTTCTCTATTGATTGAGATCTTGAACTGATTGGTGTTAGGCCATGATTGGAAACCTGGAAGCACTGGACGGCCGTTTCGTCCTATTGTGGGACTAGTGAGTGGGTGCGCATTGCTGAAGGGTGGTTCCAGGTTTTCAATCGTGTTCTAACATCAATTGGTTCAAGATCTCAATCAATAACTTAGTAATCTCCACAACCCTATGTTGATAATTTCTCTATTGGTTTGAATTGGAAAAAAAATGAACCAAATCATCTCAATCGTAGCGTATACCGATATTTATAGAATACTTAGTAGGATGAGTAGGAAAGTGTTCAATGACTTCAAATTAAATCTCATCTTTTATTTATGAAAACGTATTAAATGTGCCTTAATAGCTTTATATCTTCGAATGTTGACTAGTGACAACCTATTATTTAGTTAAAGATAATCAGTCATCTAAAAAGAATGAAATTCATCAAACTTTTTATCAAAAACACTTTATACTACTACCATATCAAATAAATGTTCACATTGGGTTTGGATTATGTTGTAGATTGATCAAACTACAGTTCTAAATATCAATGTTCAGTTAACAAAACCCCAAACAAAACGATAAACGTCTATTGAATTCCACTGCTAGCTATAATCTAAATTAATCAAAAATTATCTGCATGTCATTTTGTTAAATGTTTAATGCCTAAATAATTCTGAGATACTTTAATCATGAAATGATTATTCAAACCCATAAGATGCTGAAAAATTGAGATTATTGGATGGTTTTCTGTATCAAAGTGTAATTAAAACCTAGATAAGTATCAAACCTAGGACATTTATGTAGCACAGTTTGATCTTTATCATTCAGATAACAAGCTGATAATCCAATTGTCTGGATAAATGGTTGATTTCTTCTTTATAAGATGGTAAATTACTCACTACAAATCAAATGTTTTTGTAATATCCTGGTTCATTATCATACAGATGACTCTCGGTATCTCTGAGTTAATATTTATAATTGCTTCCAATAGACTTGAAGCTTTCAGGTTGCATCAGTAACTCATTGACTGTCAGATTTTTGTTTTTTTCTATTTTATCTATACAATCTTTTTCTTAAATTTTTCTGAGCTGTCAAATAATTAGACAAACAGAATAACTTTAATTTGTTCTAAATCTAAAGATTTATTGTACGTCAGCCACTCTCTTTTATTGAATGACATATAGTTTGCCTGATCGATTGTGTTCCAGATCTGTAGAAATATACCCCACCATGGGAAACCTGGAAGCACCTAACGGCCGTTTCGTCATATTGTGGGGCTCCTCAGCAGTGCGCATCCACAATCTCGCCTCTCGAGATTTGAACTCAAGACATACCAGTCTCGCGCGCAAGCGCTTAACCTCTAGACTACTGAGACGGCCAGCATCCAACCGTGTTAATGTCTAACTTCAACTAATCCATGAAATTGAGCGACACATCCACCATTGTCATCAGTGAGTTACTATCTCACAACAGACCCGGTTGAAATCCAACGGTCACGGCTTCTCATAAGAACTCCAGGATATACTTCTTGAGGCTAGTCTCTAGTGAGCATATGCTTGTTTAGTATGTTTCTTATTTAAACGCTAATGATACAGATTTTTAATAATTCAAAATGAAACACTCTTTTCAATATTGAGGGGATACAGTGTTGACATATGTGTATAGACACCAAACCTAACCTTATCCTTTTAATTCTACTGAACTGTAATACATCTATTTTCTTTTTATCAGAAACCTTACTTTCTCATTTAGAAAATTAAATGATTTACATTATCTATTTTTATAGGTATCCATTACCTAAACAATACTATTTGGCTATGCATCCTTATTTAGATCGACATACAACTGCTAAAAGACGTGTATGCCAACCAAATAATGTTAATTCTCGTTTATGTCCTGCTAATTATCCAAGTGGATATATATTTTATGATCGTTCTATAAATGGACAATGCACACAAAATGTGAGTTTGTTTTCTATTATTAAGTACATGTATATTTATTCATTTTGTAATCATCAATTATGTGTCATAAACACATTTACTTTTGTTTGTAAAATAAATTGACCATTTCAGTTTAAATTGTAGTAAATGAAATATATACACACACGTATATAGGAAAAAATACGCTGAAATTTAGAAAATCTATCTCAAATTGTCTACAAATTCTGATTAAAATGATCGTGATAAATACACTGATCATCAGTAAACTAATAACATATTTTAATAGTTGAGATGATGAGTTAATTGATGCTGGACTACCATGGAAAACTTGGAAGTACTAGATGGTCGTTTCGTCCTACTATGAGAGTCCTTAGCAGTGCGCATCCACGATTCCTTCTTAAAAAGACTGTTTCTATTTCAATTACATGGGTGGTAATTTAAAGATAAAATAAATCAAGAGTGAAATAAATATCACTGATGGTGTTAGATATATAACATGTAGCACTCTTAATCCAATAACCTGGAAGATAAATCTTTTATGAAGTTATAACTGTAATGTTTCAAACTTGGACAAAACAGCTGTTAGTTACCATTTGACTTTTAATGATTTCAATGAATTGATAAGAATAGTGTAGTCGAGTAACGATTACTACTGTTTGTCTATGGAAAGGACCTTATGAATATAAATCAAAAGATATAACAATCGCCTTGAAAAATTAATTGTGTATTACGGTACAAAGACAGATATGAGTGAACGCATAAGTGATTGTAGGATATGGGTTCCGTAGGTCATTCACCTAGTTAATGAAAAATAAACAATAGCTATATCAGTCACAGGGATTAATCTCAGTTCACAGGTTAATTTAATTAATAATACTCAAATATGCTAAAATCCTACACTAAAATATGCAAAGCTATCAGCATGAACAGTTTGTCAAAGAATGTATAACATAGTTTAGTTTAAATATGAAGTAATTTAGTACATTATATTAATAAAGCCCACACACAGTACTGAATAATCTTCAATTACTTGAAAAGTCATTTATTTTAGATTCAGCTATTTTCATTTTGATAGTTGAAGCTTCTTTAACAATGCTTTCTTCATTATCAACAATGGTGAAACTGTTATCTTTCAGAATTCAGTAAGTTTTTGTTTAAAATGAATAAGTTATATGTGAGAAGTTTTAACCCAAAATATGTATGAAGCTGTGAATCTTGCATGAGTTTCGTTGATGCAGACGTGAATTTAGGGTGAATATTATCCCAGTAATAATCTCTCTCTCTTCGTTAAATTTTTATTCATTATGCTACAGACTTGTCTAAATAGCACTGTCACTGGAAGGTATTAGTTGCTAGTTTTGCGTTGTATTCAACAGAAAACCACTTCCGTGTTACATTATGAGCACTGATATTCTGAAATAAAGATCTGTATACGTGATGAATTCCGTATATAACGAAGTACCCAACACGGAATCAACACTGAATATACTGGAAAAAACTCACAAATCAAGTAGATATTAGAAATATCTTTTACTTCTGAACTTAATTTCTTATGTGTGAACAGATAATTCTGATTTGGCTTCTGTAGAAAAAGTCTACTATGTCAGTGATATTATGTAGAATGATAACTGAACCAAAGCTAATGGACATCTTTTAGTGGGAAAGTTTTGGGAATTTAAACAGAGGGCATTTATAAAAAATCAGAGAATCTTCAAAAGCTTAGCACCCAGATCAATCAGAAATATATAGACGCCAACTCACCTTATCAACCAATTAGAGTCATAAATAACTATATGGTCAAAAATCAAATCAAAGGAGATAACAGTCAAGATAATTATGAAAAGAATGACGGAGCGACAATTAACCAAGATTATGATCCACAAAAAAAGCCTGTTATTAATATGTGGTGAGATTCAAACAACTCACTTTGATCTGACATTTGTGCTGATAAATTTGTACAGAAGGACAATATAAGCTTCGTCGCTAAAACCACATAGCCCAGCAAACAAAATCTCATTAAAGTGCTTCATCTAAATTGTAAATCGTCTTCGCTATTGTAAATTTTGTTTTCATGTTTGACTCCAAATGAAATCCAACCACTGCTGTAAATATTCCAATCTGTACACTTATAACTATGAACACAACAAAAAATGACTTTTCTACGTACCGGTAACTATAAACATGAACAACTGCCGTTCTTTGAAGCACTACCCTTAATTTTTATTTTATGTTTTAAAAAAATATAACAAAGTAGATTTGGAAATCTAAGCAAATGGATTCTAATTAAGTAATCTAAAGGCAAGGATACTTTTACGTCCCGGGTTTGAATCCCTGACAAGGTCTGTTTACACGCTTTCGAATCCCTTACGATAATGAATCAGCTACTTACTATCCCTTATTTTCAATAATGACATAACTGATGTTCATCCATGATAAATATCATTTGCAAATTATATTACGCATCATAACCCCTCCACTCATAAAAAATATATAAAAAGACAAATTAACCAGACTTAACATAAATTAAGAAAATTATGCCTAACTAATGTTAATAATGAGTATACTAGTATGTTGTTTGTCTAGATCAACTCTAACTTTTCTAATGATACACCCACTTTGTTAGAATTTGGTTTATGCCTTAATTATTTATGAGCTATGTACAATTATCTAAAAGTATTTACATATATGAACAAACAACAGTTAGTTTTATCAAGATGTATACAATACATACAACGTTTTATCACATAATATCGTTGAATACTAATGTCAAAGGTAAAATTATCTAATAAGATTGGGTTTTAATTAGATTTTCCATTGATTCACTTGGTGTTGTTTACTTATCACTTTTCATTGTTATTTAGGACTGAAATTAATCGGTCTCTTGTTAATTTGTGTGCATTCTTTGCGAATTGCATCGATATTGCCTTAAGTCACAAGCTGTATAAGCAAAAATGGATAGTGACTAACAGTGGAATCCAAGACGCGCGTTTCACCCTATTTCGGACTCGTCGGCTGAATGTGCCTGTATAGATAATGTGATGGAGTTTAGAGCGAACAGTCAAGTATTTAAAATTACTTATCACACATAAGTTGTCGCAATTTCAAGAAAGTACATTTTATATTCTACTTGTAGACCTAGAACAACTACAAAGGAAAATGTATTATCTATTGACTGAAATACAAAAATCATAGTTATAATTATACTTCGGGTCATGAAATTCATGTGCATATTTCTAAAAGTTATCATATGAAATACATTTATTGTATTACTGGGTCCATTAGAAGACTTTGTGGTTATCTTAATGTAGTATAATATGTTGGGCAATATCGAACACAACATGTAGTTACAGTTCAGTGATTCCTAGTCTTCACTGGTTGTTTAAATGTGATCGTTTCGTGATATAAACCATGAAAATTCAGTAATATTGATCGCGATTTTATGTAGACTTGCGACTAAGTTCGAGGGGTAACTTCATGTGTTCCAGTGAAAAGCGGTTACTAGTGAAGATCAAAAACGAGTAGTGTAAGACAGTCGTCTGATGCAGTCAATTGAAAATGATCAAGTAATGTCGTGAATTGGCCAAAAATAACCATTTAACCTAATGGACATTAACTCAATAATCTACAGGTTCAGTGCTTGCTGAGTGACCCGATAGTCTTGAGGTCTATCCTTCGTAGTGAAGTAATGGATACCCACTGCCAAAGGGTCTCTCACTACGAAAAAACAGATGTTCAGTGCCCTTGGTTTTCAACGCATGGCTAACTAAGAATTATCCAGAGTGTAAACACCATAGAAAACCTGGAAGCTCTGGACGACCATTTCGTTCTATTGTGGGACTCCTCAGCAGTACACATCCACGACCCTGTTTCGCAAGATTCGAACTCAGGACCTATCAGTCTCACGCGCACTACTGCGGGATTCCGCAATAGGATGAAACGGTCATCCAGTGCTTTCAGGTTTTCCATGATGGTCTAGCTTTAATTGACTCATAATCTCAACCATTAAAAATAGTATTAACTTAAATGTATCCAATAATATTCCTAAGTACTGTAACAATATTTTCAAGCAGTTGATTGTGTTCGAGTCTTTAGTTTAATTAAACTTAGAAATATCTATTATAAACTACAACTAATCTGTTAGATCCATCTAACTTACTGGAAAGATTTTCTTATTATCATATCTATTAAACTTCTAACAACAATTCAGTGAAACATTTCATAATGGATCTATCATTTCTTAATCATCAATCTTAAAATTAATTTCCTTAAATAATTAATTTTCATATAAACGCTTAGCAAATAAAGAAAAAAATAAATCAACGTTTCACACTATAAACTTCGTTTCATGAAAAAAATTTACGACACATCTTTTCTTTTCTTTTTTTTATTTCTTCTTTCAATTAAACCTCTTTTTCTTAATGTTCTCTTTGGGAATATTCAAAGTTTATCCGAAATAAATCCACTAGACATGTCAATAGGAGATTAATGATCACCATCATCATCATCAGCATCATCAATACCTTGTCTATTCCAGTTTTTGTTATTGATTAAAAACAATTCACCGTGACAAACGTTACGCTAGAAAAAATCATGAAAAAGATGAGTCTTTGTTTTCTCACTACTTTGAAATAGACAATAAAACTTAAACGAAGCTAAAACTAAAATTCTTATTTCTATAAATAAGTAAATAAATAAAAGTTTTTGAAAAAAAACAGCACTTCGACAGCTAATTTTATAGTATTTTTTGTTTCTTTTTCATATTCAGCTTCCTTATCATTGAATCTACCTGTGAATAGTTAGACATTTTTTTGTGGGGGAGGGTAAATTTGTCATCCTGTTATCATTTGCCACTTCAAGTCTTTATTTGTTTTTTTTTTGTTTTTTGTGTTCATTTTGATTCCAATGAGAGAAAAGGAAGGTTGAGATAAGAAATCAAAAACTAAAAACAAAAAAAAAACAAGAAGGAAGAACTTTTGTCTTATCAATTCTCACCTTCGCTTTCTCTTTCTGCCTTAGTATAT